ATGTATTTGGAGACATGAGAAAAAAGAAAAAAGGAGGAGGAGAGGAACAAGGAGGCACAAAGCACCACAGCACCATCTACATCTTCCTTCATGAAGTTCATCATATTTTATTGTAATACAATTTCTGAAAGGCAAGTTTCATAAACTTGGTTTAATGAATGTCTCATAGAGAGCCTACTGCTTTATTCCCTGTAACTGGCACATGGAGATTAAATTGATGAATAAATGAATGAATAGTGTAAGAAGGTGAGGACAGAGGACAGGCAGACAGTGATAAAGAAAAGAGTGATACAGGGCAAGAAAGCTGATGAAACAAAGAGAAGATTGTCAGCTCCAGAAGCCCTGACTTTGAGCACATCCAGCTGGGTTGGACATTGACTTGAAAGTATGCTCATTGCATCTTCACCAAGAGGATGCCTTTGTACCTGGGCAGTTACTATCGCTTCCTGGCAGAGCACCCAGATCACACCAGGACTCTCACCCAACCCTAGGGCTTAGACTTCTGGAGACTTAAAATAGGAGTTCTGCTTGCAACCTGGCTATTCTTTCCTTGAGCTGGAGTGCAGTGTGCCTAGAGAAGTCATTTGAGCCATCACTTTGAGCCATCGGGTTTACTTCTTTACTTTACAAATCAGTTCTCACTCCCATTTTTTATCATGACAATTTAAAAGATTTTTCACTCTGCTCAATACCCTTCTTCACCTCTCCCCACACCCTCCAGCAGAGGAAACAGATAAACCAGGGAAAACAAAAAAATAGCCAAACTTTGCGTGCCAGCCTCTGTCCTAAGCATTTTATAAGAATTAATCTGCATGATTATCACAGCAACTCTCTGAGATGCTTGGTAAATCTAAGGCACCAAGAAGGCCAAGGTCACACAGAAAGGAGTGGCCACTGATAATGCAGTACAACGTTTCTCAAATTTTATCGTACAAAAGAATTACTCATTGATTTCGTTAAAAGTGCGGATTCTGGCATCTTCCCCTAACCACATCTAATCCTGAGATTCTGAGTTAGTTGATTTGAGGATAAGCCTGGATATCTACATTTTTATATAATCACAACAGATGACTCTCATGTGAGTAGTTCTTGGGCCTTATTGTCAATGTATTTCTCTGATCATCTTTCTTAGAGGAACTCAGGAACATATAAATTCTGATAGAGCTGAAAAAAGAGGTATGCTCTAGTGAATGCCTTGCCAAGACAGCCTGGCATGACTCTAACAAGTTCCCTTGAAATGTCACATCCTCTGGGACAAGAACTTGAAATTTTTAGAATTTGGAGAGGAATATATTTCAAAGAAATCTGAAGGCAAGGCAAAACCCAGGTACCTAATAATTGGCTGAAATATTTGTTCCCTTGCCCTTCATTTGCAAAAGAAAGTATGAAATTGGCAATGAGGCAACAAGAAAATGTGGACAACACACCGGGTAGGGTGGAAGCCAAGGCGAGTGAGACAGATAACCACAAATGCAGAGAGAAACTCTCCCCGAATTCACCGCTTTTCAAGCACTGGGGTGAGGACCTTTCTGAGACCCAGCAGAAAAAGGCACAGGACCTCTTCTGGAAGTTTAGTTACAATGTTTACCTCAGTAACCAGTTGCCCCTCAATCGTCCCATCCCAGACACACAAGATTCCAGGTAAGTTGGGCTTCCTAAGGTCCTCAGTTTAATTTGGGGATGAGCTTTGGGAGCAATGAAAGTCAAGGGTTGGAAAGAAAGTTGAGGGAATGGGAAATTGGTGGGGATGGGGTTCAGGGCATAGAAAGCTTTTGCAGGCTGACTGAGCAGAGTTCTTGTTTTTAATCCATTTTTTTAATGGCATCTCAGAGAAGATAATTGTTTCAAATATTTTTGTGCTCTTGGAGATGTGCAGAGATGTCAGAGAAACATAGATCCTTGAGAATTCTGATAGATGAGTCAAATTTATAATTTTACAGACAGAGAAACTGAGGCTGAGAAAGAGAATGGACTAGTGCAAGTCACATGGAAGTTCACAGCTCTACTTCTTTCCCTGTATTTTCTTCAAACTCTCTGCTTGGATTCCTCTTGGTTATTAATTTTAATTTACTCTCTCTTTTGGTTTCCCTTTCCCATTGTCTTTTCTCTTTCTGCTTCTCCTACCCTCCTTCACAAGTTTTTAATATAACACCTTCATTGAGATATAATTCACACACCATATAATTCATTTATTTAAAGTATAAAATTTGATGGTTTCCAATATATTCAAAGAGTTGTGTACCATCACCATAAGCAATTTTAAAACATTTTCATCACTTCAAAAGAAACCCCACACCCATTCACAGCCACTCCCCATTTGCCCACAATTTTCTCATCCCTAGGCAATCGCTAGTCAACTTTCTGTTCCTACGGATTAGCCTCTTCTGGGTATTTCACATAAATAAAATTAGAGAATGGGGGCCTTTGTGACTGGCTTTTTTTTTTTTTCACTTAGCATAATGTTTTCAAGTGTCATTTATGTTATAGCATGTATCAATATTTCATTCTTTTATTGTCAAATAATATTCCATTGTATGGGTATACCACATTTTGTTTACTTATTCACCATTTAATGGACATTTGGATTGTTTCCACTTTTTTGACTATTATGAATAATGCTGCTATAAACATTCATGTAGATGTTTTTGTGTGGACATACATTTTCACTTTTCTTAGTTATACCATAGGAGTAGAATTGCTAGGTCATACGATAACTATATTTAACATTTTGAAGACCTGCCAGACTGTTTTCCAAAGTGACTGCATCATTTTACATTCCTTTCAGTGTATGAGAGTCCTGATTTTTCTACATCCTCATCAACATTTGTTATTATTTGTTTTTTTTGATAATAGCCATCTTAGTGGGTGTAAAGTGGTATATCATTGTAGTTTTGATTTAAATTTCCCTGATGTCTAATGATGCTAAATGTCTTTTCATGTACTTTTTGGCCATTTATATACTTCTCTGGAGAAATGTCTATTCAGAGATTTTCTTCTTTTTAAAATTGGTTTATTTGTCTTTTTATTATTGAGTTGCAAGTATTATTTATATATTCTAGGTACAAGTTCCTATCAGACATATGGTTTGCAAATGTTTTCTTCCAAGTGGGTTGTCTTTTTACTTTTTTAATGACCTTCTTTGGTGCACAGAAGTTTTTCACACTTCGTTTGAGTTTAATCTTTTTAAATTTATTGAGATTTATTTTATGCCTTAGCATATGGTCTCTTCTGAAGAATGTTGTTTGTGCAGTTGAAAGAATTCTGCTGTTGTTGGGTAGAGTGTTGTATAAATATCTTTTAGTTGGTTTGCAGTGTTCTATAAGTCTTTCATTTCCTTGTTTATCTTCTGCCTAGTTGTATCTGTTATCAAAAGTATTGTATTGAAGCCTCTAAAGATTATTGTTGAATTGTCTATTACTCCCTTCAATTCTGTCAGTTTTTGTTTCATGTATTTTGGGACTCTGTTGCTATTTGTATATGTTTTTAATTGTTTTATCACCCTGATAGATTGGTCATTTTATCATTATAAAATTTCCTTTTTATCACTAGTAACATTTTTATTTTAACATCTATTTTGTCTGGCAGCAGTTGAACTTGGCCTGTGGCAGGGCCCCTCCAAGGAGGCCCTGGTCTGTACATCCAGTGGCTGGCTTTGGTCTGCGCTGTAGGACCACCTGGGGTTACACCTGAGGATGACACAACACAAGAGCAGACAGGGCAGGCACCAGAACCCTGTTAAAGTGAACCGTGCTCTGTAGTGTCAGCCCCTGCAAAATTGCTTCTCCACTGGCCATGGCCAGTCTTCACAATCAGATAGTCGATCTCTCTCATTTATGAGCAAATAAAGCTCAATTACATCAGGAGGGCACGCGCAGCCCATATAAGGGACATACCTAGAGTACCTGGCTCAGGTGACCAGGGAAAACTGTGTCACTGCAACTCACAGCACACCTACTACACACTTACTACTCTACTAAGACTGGGAGACATAGCAGCCCTACCTAATATCTAGAAACAAACACAAGTAGGCAGCCAAAATGGGAAGACAAAGAAAGTCCCAAATGAAAGAACAGAACAAAGCTCCAGAAAAGGAACTAAACAAGATGGAGACAAGCAATCTACCAGATTCAGAATTCAAAACACTTGTTATAAGGATGCTCGATGAATTTAGACGAAGAGTAGATGAACTCGGTGAGAACTTTAAAAAAGAAATTGAAAACATAAAAATGGAGATAGAAAACATGAAAAAGAACCAGTCAGAAATTAAGAATACAATAAATGAAATGAAGAACACCTTAGGAAGAATTAACAGTAGATTAGATGAAGCAGAGGATTGAATCAGAGATTTAGAAGATAAAGTAGCAGAAAACACCCAATCAGAATAGCATTAAAAAAAAAAAGAATCCAAAAAAATGAAGATGGTTTAAGGGGCCTCTGGGACAGCATCAAGTGTACCAACATTCTTATCATAGGGTACCAGAAGGAGAAGAGAGAGAGAACAAGGAATTGAAAACCTATTTCAAGAAATAATGACTGAAAACCTCCCTAACCTAATGAAGGAAATAGACAAGCCCAGGAAGCACAGAGAGTCCTAACTAAACAAGGTGAACCCAGAGAGGCCCACACCAAGACACATCATAATTAAAATGCCAGTTTAAAGACAAAGAGAGAATCTTAAAAGCAGCAAGAAAAAAGTAGTTAGTTACCTCCAATGGAGCTCCTATTAGACTGTCAGCTGATTTCTCAACAGAAATTTTCCAGGCCAGAAGGGATTGGCAAGAAATATTCAAAGTGATTAAAAATGGTGACCTGCAACCAAGACTACTCCACCCATAATCTATCATGTAGAAATGAGGGACAGATAAGAAAAAGCTAAAGGAATTCATCATCACCAAACCAGTATTACAGGAAATGTTAGAGGGACTTCTTTACGATGAAGAAGAAAAGATATTAAAAAAAGATAAAAAATATTAATAATAAAGTGGGAATAACTACATATTTATCAATAATTACCTTTGAATGTAAATGGATTAAGTGCTGCAATCAAAAGATAGAGTGGCTGAATTAATAAGGAAACAAGACCCTTACATATGCTGCCTACAAGAGACTCACTTCTCGAAACACAAACACAGACTGAAAGTAAAGGGCTAAAAAAATGTTTCATGAAAATGTAAACAAACAAAAAGCTGGGGTAGCAATACTTACACCAGACAAAATAAATTTTAAAATAAAGGCTATAACAAGAGACAGAGAAGGACCCAGTTATCCCACTTCTGAGTATTTATCTGAAGAAACCCAAAACACTACTTTGAAGGAACATGTGAATCCATATATTCATTGCAGCATTACTTACAGTAACCGGGATATGGAGGCATTCTAGGTGTCCATCGATGGATGAATGAATAAAGAAGAGGTGGTATATATACAATGGACTATTACTCAGCCATAAAAATGAATGAAATCTTGCTATCTGCATCACATGGATGGACCTAGAGGGTACTGTGCTGAGTGGAGGAAGTCAGACAGAGAAAGGAAAATGTCCCATGTGGAATCTAGAGAACAGGATAAACAAACAAACAACAGAAACAGGCTCACAGATACAGAGAACATTTTGATGGTTGTCACATTGAGAGGTGGGGAATCGGTGAAGGAGGAGGGGATTAAGAGATACAAATTGGTAGTTACAGAATAGTCATGGGGATGTAAGTTTAGCATGAGGAATATAGTCAGTAGTATTGTAATAACTATGTACAGTGTCAGATGGATACTGGATTTGTCAGGGTGATCACTTCATAAGTTGTATAAATGTCTAATAACTATGTTGTACACCTGAAACTAATATAATATTGCATGTCAACTATAACTAAAAAAAAACAAAAAAATAAAAATAAAATAAAAATACAATCTGACAATCTCTACCTTTTGATTAGGTAGTTTAATTCATTTATATTTAATGTTTCTATTAACATAATTGGATTTATGTCTGCCATCCTATTTTTGTTTTTTTATGTCTCGTGTTTTCTCTTCTCTAATCCTCTTTACCACTCTTGTTTTTTTTTTTACATTAAGTGAATACTTTCTCATGCAACAGTATAATTCTTTTAATAATTTTTCAGTATATTTTTATAATTATTTTCTTAATGATTGCTCTAGGGATTATCACATATGTCTTAATTTATCAGAGTCTACTTAGAGTTATTCCAATGAGATGTATAGGAAGTTTACTCATATATAACTCGATTCCCTCTTCCTCCTTTTTGCTATTGTTGTTACACATATTTCATATATATGGTACCAACTTAAAAATATACTGTTATAATTACTTTATATAATTTTATGCCAAGTAAAGATGAGAAAAAGAAAAGTGTAAATTTATAGAGTTTTTATATTTATCTTTTTCTTTGCCAGGTCTGATTCTCTGTACTTGTTCCCATGATTCAATTTACCATCTGGTGCCATTTCCTTACTTCAGTACAGCTTTGCTCCCATCCACCTCTTTTGTGCTATTATTGTCAAGTGTATTAAATAATTAAATGTTGTAGGCTCAACAATATAATTATATATACTTTAAAAAATATGATTACTTTTAAAATCAATTAAAAAAAGAAAGGAGAAGAAATAAGCATTAATAATGTTATTCA